AGAGAGATACAGGAAATAAAAGAAGTATGTTCTCCTACCCCGGACTCCAAGAACAGTTTTCAAGACTAGATCTCCCCTTTCGTTCGGACCTCACTCCTGGTCCTGTTCTCTTCCAGGAGCATGCGTGTTGCGTGGTGCCTGCATCTCTTCTGTGCTGTTAGTGCAAACAGAGCCTTAGAGTCAGATTAAATACTGAGAGAAAAACAGATCCAGATTCTGGCCCCAAACAGGGATAGATTCCCCTAAAACATGTAGTTGGTTCCTCATTGGCAGCAGAAATAGTGAAAGCAGCATGGTTTGGGGAGGTCAGGCAGAAGTGGGTTTCTACCCCAGCTATTTCCTCATTTGTAAAATGGGATTAATGTTGGTGCCCAATTTCACAGACCTGCTGTGAGTTTACAATGTTTAGTGTAAGTCAGGGGATGAAGATGGTGCCCACATAAAAATCCCCTTTAGGATCAGAGGAGCATCATCTACCAAGACTGGGGACCCCGACATGAGGTCTGTGGAACATCTCCATGGGACATGGGGAGCAAGATGCCCTCCCAGAGTGAAGGGTGTGCGGGCTGGGACTGACACTCTAGCTTTCGCCTGCCATAATGCCTACCAGAAACAGAGTGGACAGGACTCCCAGGCAAGCCACTGACAGTGAGCGAGTTCCTGCACAGTTTCTTCCTCCAAGTTCTGTGAGAAGCAGCTCCAGTCGTCGGCTCATCTGCCCAGTGGCACAGAGCCACCGGGACCTCCTGACAGTCCTACGGGGTCTCCTTCCCTTCTCAACACTAAGGGGCCAACGGAGAGTCGGCCAACTCCAGGCAACCCTTCCCTTCCACCTTCCCTTCCTGTCCTCAGCTCAGAGATGAGTAAGTGGGATGTTCTTCAGACTTTCTTAGTTATGCACCTTTTCAGGAAAAACATCTTGAGGGGGCCTCCTCATGTAAGTAGATTTATTACAACACATGCACACATTATGATGCACATTATGGAACATAAACAAAAAAAGAAAATGGCGAGCGACATAAAACATCAATGGAAATTGTAATATTTTCTTCCTCTATTCCAACAGATTATCTTATGCGCAATTTAAAACCCTGGGGTACCTCCCTGACGAAGCTCAGGTTAAAAAAAAGTCACAGTAACGGTAACCTGAGGGAAACCAGAATTGGGCTTTGGAAGTCACGTCCAGCTCCAGCTTCACCACAGCTTCTTCAGACGTGAGTGGTTGAAATTCTGCAAAATCAGAAAACTTGAATATGTGAGTAGCCCAATTTGGCAAAATCTGTACGTGTTGGTTTATATCCATGGGAGAACACCGTGAGGACAGGCCCCACCCCGTGCTTCTTCTCACCCCACTATTCCTGCAATTATTGTTAATGAATTTACCCCTTAATTTTGGTTGTGAAGAATCTATCACCCAGCTGGCTTTCTCTGAAGTCTCAATACAAAAAGGCGAGGAGATGGAAATTGTTTTGTTAATTCTAGAACAAGGTATTTCAAAATTCCTTTGAAAAAGCTAGTACAAAAACCAGATGCCTAGGGGTGGATGCGTGGCTCAGTGGGTTAGAGCACGTGCTCTGAGCAACAGGGTTGCCGGTTCGATTCCCACATGGGCCAGTGAGCTGCACCCTCCACAACTAGATTGAAGACAATGACTTGAGCTGAGCTGCCGGCGGGCGGCCAGATGGCTCAGTTGGTGAGAGCATGTGCTTTTAACGACAAAGTTGCCGGTTCGATTCTCACATGGGATAGTGAGATGTGCCTGGGGAGTGGACTTGGAGCTGAGCTGCGCCCTCCACAGCTAAGATTGAAGGACAACAACTTGACTTGGAGCTGATGGGTCCTGGAAAAAACACACTGTTCCCAATAAAAATTTTTTAAAAAAAATTTTTTTAACCAAACAATACCGGATGCCGTTATGTATTCCCCTAGGAAGGGAAGCGTTCTGATTGCCATCAGGCATCAATGGGAGTGGCTTACAGGTAAGTGTCTTTTCTGGGGGCCTAGGTAGTCTGAATTCAGCAATCTTAAAACCCTGAGAATAGTGTCATAACCTTCATTTACAGAAAGAGTGCAACACCTGCTAAACTCATATGAGACTCAGATAAAGACATGCCTTAGTTAAGGGCCGGCCGAGTGGCTCAGTTGGTTAAGAGCCTACTCAAGAGTGTGAGCTCTGAGCAACAGCGGTTCGAGTCCCAACCTGAGCTGAGCTGCCAACAGGTGGCAGGATGGCTCAGCTAAAACAAGCAAACAAAGACATGACTTGGTTGCCTCTCCCTGCTGTGAAGAAACGTATCCACATTAAGAAACCACAATTTTACATTTTATAACCTGATTTTTAAAGAGGTTGAACCAACACATTAATTCATTCAACAATTTACTGACCACTGGGTGCAAAGTGTTGTGTGGGGTGTTGGAATACCTCAGTGAACGATGACACCAGTAACAAGAAAGGTGGCTGAAAATCCCAAAATATGTGGAGATGAAACATTTCTAAATAACACGTGGGTCAAAGAGGAAATCTCAAGATAAATTTGAAAATGTTCTGAACTAAAAGAAAATGAAAATACAGTAATACCTTGGTTTGTGAGCATAATTCATTCTGGAAATAAACTACTTGCATTGCAAGACATCGCTCGTTTACCAAGTTAAAATGTTTTATTAGGTTGGTGCAAACGTAATGGTAAAAACTGCAATTACGTTTGCACCAACCTAATAGAAATGTTTGCTCGTCTTGCAGAACACTTGCAAATCAAGTTACTCGCAATCTGAAGTTTTACTGTATAACTTATCAAAACTTGTGGGATATAGCAAAAGCAGTGATCAGAAGGAAATTTATAGCAGTGAATGAATATAGTAGAAAAGAATATCTAAAGTCAACAATCTTAAGCATCCACCTCAGGAAACTAGAAAAAGATACAGGCACGTGTTGTGAACCCATCATTGGCAAGGCAGGTGGAATTTAAGTCCAAGTTTGGAACTTTAATTGAGGCTTTATCTGTGTGTTGTGGGCATAAGCATTGACACCTAACAAAGGTAGAACTCTATTAGGGAGAAAATGGTGAATGGATGCTAAGAGGCTATTGACACTATTTACTACCCATACTATTTTGCATATATTGCTACCAAATTTTATTCTGCTATGAAAGCAAAATTTGATTAAATTATCAATTTATAAATTACATACAGGGAATTTTGTAATAAAGGTTATGTCTTTTTTTATTCACCTCAATGTTTTTTAATTCCCATGGATTATTTAGAAGGGCGCTGTGTAATTTAGAACTCTTTTGGAGATTGTTTTCCCATTATGTTATTGTCATGTTAATGATTTCTAGTTTGACCTAGGTATGATTACAAAGCATATTTTATATGGTTTTACTTACTGTTGATATCTTAGTGCTTCATTTATGACCCAAGGTGTGGTCTGCCTTGGTGAGTGTTCCAAACATGCTTGAAAACAATGTGTATTCTGTATTAGTTGGTGGTACTGTTCAGTTCTATATAGTTGACTTTTTTTTTTTTTAGTTGTTGACTTTTTGTCTAGCGGTTCTACACGTTACCTAGAGAGGCATTGACGTCCCCAACTATAATTGTGGGAACTGTGAATTTGCTATCTTTTTTCACTTCTGTTAATTCTTCTTCATGCATTTTGCAGCTCTATTGTTTGGTGCACATTCATATATTGTTATGTTTTCTTGTGATCTGATCCTTGTATCATTATGCAATGTCCCTGGCAATTTTCTCTTGTTCTTGTCAGCTTTGTCTGATAATACAGTCACTCCAGCTCTGCAAGGTATTATCTTTTTCAATTCTTTTACCTACCAATATCACTATACTTGAAGTGAATTGCTTGTAGATAGCATATGGTTGGGTCATGTTTTATTTTTCTTTATCCATTCTCCCAATCTATCCTTTACTGCATTTCCCCATGTATAAGACGCACCGTTTTTCAAAAAAATTTGGGGTCTAAAAACCAGGTGCATCTTATATAGTGGTTGTAGATTTTTTTACTTGCATTTCCTGCTGAGGACGAGGCAATATATGAAGACAGTGATTCGTCATCAGAACCACATATTGAGAACCACAGCAATGTTATAAATTTTGCTCTTAACTTTTAAATAATAAGCTCAACATGTACAAACCTGCTCATTTACTCAACATCCAATCATCCATGAGTAAGTTAACCACTGTCTCATACACTACAAATTCTCCACGCCCATCCATCCATAGTGATTCCTGGAATTGATTTGACACTCGTTTCTATTATATTTGGGAAACTCTCCAGGGACCTGATATACCTCAAGGCCCATCCTCTGAGATCTATATTCCATTCCCTTTCCTTTCCTTTCCAACTCACTCGTGCTGATTTGTCAGTATTTACATTGATTTCAGGAAGCGGTTTCCCCCACTGGACCATAAGCTTCTTGGTGATGGGTTTCTATTTTGTACATTCCTCTTGGGCCTGTTCCCCTGAATGATAGATAACTCTACGAATTCACTGCCCTCTCCATGTCTACGGAGTTTTAAAAAATTCAGCTATCTATGCACCCAACAGATCCCACACAAGTTTTCCACAAAACTTCCTATGCAAACATCTCACAGTAGCACCCAAAACACCTGCCCATAAGGCACTTGTGAACGTGACTTGTTCCAGAAAAGCAAAAATGTTGACGTCAAAACTCTTTAACCTTAAACAGTTTGCTCGAAAAAACTCTCCATAACATCCTTAGAAACCACTTTGTTCCAAATGTGTAGCCATGCAACTGTCAGATGTCCTTTCATAACTCCTCTGTGAATCCACCCAACAACACACACACACACACACACACACACACACACACACACACACACACACACACCCTTTCACACAGCTAACATACTGGACTCAATTATCCCATTTTGGAACAGGAATAATTTATTTCTATGAATATGATTTTAAAAATAGTGATCAAAATTTTCTCCATATCAGGAAAAAAACCCAAAGTAACAAATACATATGTATGAGTACATACACATACACACACACACACATATAATTTTGTGAATATCTATAATTTAGTTTTTAACTTTTAAATGATAGTAGGGGAGGACTCAATGCCAAAGTTCATTTCGATCAAGCTTTTCCAGGTCAATTAGTTTAGTTTCTTGTGAACACAAATCAAGCTTGCTCCAGCTCCACCAGGACTCCACCGCAGTCTTTCGGATGGAGGAAAATCACCGGTTTTCCGTGCGCTCCTATTTTGGCCTCGTCGCTTAGACTACGGATCTTCTTTTCTTTCAAATCCATCACAGCTGCATTTATATTATCCACCTGGAGAAAAGGAAATAAATAAGGACACATTTGAGATCATGATAACATCGGGCGACTTAGAAGAAGCTTTGCAAGCTCATGCGGTCTTTCTATAGGTGGAACACCATTCTTAACCCATCACAAAAATCAGCTCAATATTTCCAGAGAAGGAAAAGCATTTGCTACAAATTCCTAGGTGAGCAACCACATGCTTCAGAATTTTCATTGTTAGCCCTTTCGCCACGATGGCTGGATATATCTGAATAAATATATGTGAAATTTTTATACATAAAAATGTCATTTATAAAGCAGCTCAAGTTATTGTTAAATGAATAAGTTAGTCAAAATATCAACTTTTTGTTTTTTGTGGATTTCTGACACATTTTGAAAAAAAAACTTGAAATCAACGCGAATTAATAAACATTTCTCGTTAGAACCCAAGTAATGTATGCTACACTTTATACTGTTTTCTTCTAGCAATACTATTGGTGACACTGCACATACTGTGTTTTCCTAAGAGCCTTGGGTTCCTCACCTCTAATAGGGAGATGAGACCTGCTATATAAATGGGCAAGAAATTAAAATGAGATCACAGAGCAGAAGCTCTTAGCATAGTTTTTAATAGGTACTCAACAAATATGACTGCCTCCCTGATCTCCAAACCTTGCACCTGCCAAACTTCCTGGTTATCACTTTTGAAATTAAAACTTCATATACATGAAATCACTAATCAACTGTCAATGAAATGTTTTTCTCCATTCTAAAAAGCCAAACATTTATAATTTTGCAACTCTCTTCTAAATCCTTTCTAGTTTCTTCATATTTGTTGGCAGTCAAGGAGTAAAATGTGTCTCTATATACTTATGGAAAAACGATTCTCTTCTATCTTAGAAAATTATCCTTGTAGACTGGGAACCCATTAGATGGACAGAGGTGTAACATGAATGCCCACACTCCGAGGCAGTCATAGATCACCCTGGAGTTTAATGCTCAGTAGCATTCCAAACATTTAAAAAAAAAAAAAGCACAGAGAATAATATAACACCCATGCCATGCACCCAACATACAGATTCAACAAACGTTCATATTTATACAGTCTTATTTTCAAAGAGCCAAGGATTATACACACTGGATTCTAAAACTGGTTAAACAACCGACGAGGCCACTAAATGTTACTGTAAATAAACCATGATTTCTTCAAACAACATAACACTCTACTTGTTCATTCCTGATACGGTTTCCTTTAAAATCTGACGGAGCCACCAAAGTCGTGCCCAGGCTGTGACCATGGCCATTTCATGCTCCCTTGTCGTCATCTTTTTCAGAACGGTAGGATTCTTCCTGACGTTGACCTTTTCATATCCGGATATAATGAATTTCATTCTATTGAATTTGACCTCTTTTCCCATTTTCTCGAAGTTAGTCTACATTCAGTCTTTCCATTTGAAAGTAATTTTAGAATTACACAGTACATGAACATTTAAACAAACAGATCCAGCTAAGTACCCCTTGACGAGCACTAATATAATTTCCCTCTCCAGAGGTAACTACTGTACTCCGTTTGATATATGTTCTTCCAAATCTTAAAATATATTTATAATCCTTACCCATTGTGAATAATAGTAAAAAGTTCGGCCTTGTCTAAAGAGAGGTCTGGCCTTGACTTCTGGGAGATCATGTCTGTAACCTGATAGGAGTGCCTTTTGCCCTTGATGTGGGAGATAACCTATGGAACCGGCTAGGAGTGTCTTTGTTTAGAGAAGAAGCGATCCAACTGCATCCCCTAAGGTGGAGCTGGCTGTGCCAGGAACCATGTGATTTAGCGTAGGAGCTACGGGTCACATGCTCTCAGCAGTGGCTCTGAAGACTGGGTTCAGCCCTGGGGGCAACCAGTCGACCGGTCAAGCTGAGGATGGTGTGAGCTTCCCTGGCTGGCAACACTCCATGTGTACTGGCACATATCAATGCCAGTGGTAACGTGCCCTCAGGAAAATGGGAGCTTTGAGCTTACAGCCCTCCCAGACTCTGCCCCACGCCTTCCTTCCTTTGATCCTTTGATCTGTATCCTTTGCAGGTCAAGTAAACTGTCACCACGAGTGTAACAGCGTTCAGTGAGTTCTGAGGGCGTGCCTATGAATTACTGCGCAAAGGGCCATTTTGGAAACCCTGAATTTGTAAATGGTATCAGAAGGGAGGGTGTTTTCTGGAGAAGTGCGTGTGCTCTAAACTTTGCTGTATGAATAACTGATATGTATATAAAGTTACATATGAATGATGTTTTCTGTACGCATTGTTTGTATTTCTTTTCTTTTTTTTTTTTTTAGCTGAGCCATCCTGTCACCTGTTGGCTGCTCAGCGGCAGCTCAGCTTGGACCAGGAATCAAACCGGTGACCCTGTTGCTCAGAGCTCACACTCTTGAGCGAGCTCTTAACCAACTGCATGTATTTTCTTTTTTACTTAATTTATCTCAGCAATTTTCCATGTCAGTACATACAGGTCAACAATTTTTTTAACTACCACATAGTGCTCTAAATAAATAAATAAATAAATAAATAAATAGTACTCTAAATAATTAACTACCACATAGTGCTCGAAATACAAAAGGTGACCTAACCATCTCCTTACTAATCAACATTTAGGTTAGAAGAAGGGAAACCTGGACTCTTCTCAATGGTCAGATGCTAAATTGAACAAAGAGAGCTTGGTGATTGACTCATGGACAAGAGTCCACTGGCGTCTGAGGGCATCTGCACATGGCAGGGACCCGAGGCGACAGGTAAAAAACATTATAGCAAAAATTTAAAACTATGGAGGGCAGATCGAGATATTCTAACAAAACTGAGCCAAAGAAAAAGAGCCAAGAGGGAGTGACAGCAGCAATATTTGAAGAGATAACTGATAATTTTCCACAATTGAAGAAAGACATGAATCCTCAAATAAAAGTACATTTGTGAATAAAGCAGGATAAATAAAGACGGACCAATACCTATCCATATAACAGAGAAACTGAGTAACACCAATGATACAGAGAATAACTTAAGAGCTCTCAGGGAAAAACAACAACAATACACACATACACAACCAAATGTTTATGATAACTGTTGAAAATGATTAATCAATCAGACAAAAGATTAAGGATAAAGACGAGCCATGATAGTTTTTTGACTATTCTGGAAATAAATCCCTTACCAGATACGTGATTTGCAAATATTCTCTCCCATTCCGTGGGTTGTCTTTATACAGAAGGTATTAATTTTGATGAAACCCAACTTACCAAGCTTCCCACGTATCACTTGTGCTTTTGGTGTCACATCTAAGAAATCACTGCCTAATCCAAGGTCATGAAACTTTATGCCTATAGGAGTTTTATCATTTTGGCTCTTACATTTAGGTCTTTGATCCATCTTGAGTTAATATTTACATATGGTGTAATACAGCTTTGGTTTTTTGAAATGCTCTATTGACGAGTTTTGAGGCCCTGGCTACAGGATGGTCAGTTTTCCTTCTTGAGCAAATGATTAAATCCACATCCCACTTGCCTTATCAGGCTTGCACACTCCAGGGCCAGTATGTGCCCACCCTAATGCCCCCGAGACAGGCACCAGACAGCTAGGTGCAATCCCTATGCCCACAGAATTATTCCAGTTAACCAATCTAGAGGGAGCCCAGAAACCCAGCTAACCCACCCACATGCCCCTCTAAGCTGCTCCCTACAGTCCCCGGGTGTAACCCCAGGAGGTCAATATGGCAGCCTTCCCTCATATGGAGCTGTAAGGCACAAAGAGCTGTGTCCACCATCTCTCCAAGTGTCACTGTATTGTGTCCTGCCATCAAGTGAATCTTTAAATCATATAAAACAGCTGGCATGAGGGCCGGCCGAGTGGCACACTGGTTAGGAGTTGGCTTGGGACGCCAGCTTTGAGCAGCAGGGTCCCGGTTGGGATCCCACATGAGGGCCAGTAAGCTGCGCCCTCTACAGCTAAGATGCTGAACAACAGCTCGACCTGGAGCTGGGCTGCCGTGAGTCGCTGGTGACGGCGTAGGCTGCAGTGGGGCTGCAGTGAGCTGCCGTCCAGTGGGCGGCGACTGACTGCCTCTCTAGGAAAGACCGCAATAATACCAACATGGGCCAGTGAAGCAACGTCCTCCACAACTAGACTGAAGAACAAAAGGACAGCAACTTATCTGTTCCCCTCCCCCAATTCCCCAATAAAATCTTTTTTAAAAATTAAAATAAATAAATAAAACAGCTGGCATGAGGGACGACTCCCAGCACATTCTTCTGCAGATGGGTACTCCCGTTTGTTGAAATGACTATTCCCCATTGGATGGTCTTGGTACCCTTATTAAAAATCAACTTCCTGTAACTATGAGGGTTTCTGTCTGACTCTTTCATTCTTTTTTTGTTTTTTTAAAGTCCCCATCTCTTGAGTCTCCTGATATCTACAAAGACTAGACAGGCTGCCCACTCTTGCATATGTGAATGCTGCTGGTTCCCACGTCTGGCTATTTGAAAATAAAATTGTTCTAGAGCTTTAGAGGTTTTCCACGCTTTCCTTTAATATACTGATGGCTATGGCACCTTTAAGACATGGCCACCGATTCTTTGGAACTGCTTCATCAAGAGGCATCTGGGACCGACGTCCTCTTCCCTTGTGTCCCGTCTGCCTGGACTCAGAGACAGCAGCAGGGGCTGTGGGGCTTCCAAGGCTATGACAGAAATGCCATGCAGCCCTGCCTGGCTCTGGGGACCCTCACCCTGGCCAGAAAGAAGTCAGTAAGCTACCTGTCCCGTAAGAAGTCCCTCTACCCTTAGAACTACTCTCAGCTCGGGAAGCAACCGAGAGGTCACACGTAGGTGTTCCTGCTGAGGGTCTGGCTGAGTGCCCAGCTGCCAGCTCCTGGGAGAGGCCTGGGGCACCGCCCAGCTGCCAGCACATGGGAGAGGCACGGGGACGCCCAGGCGAGCCTTCCCAGACTGCAGCCCCATGACAGATGTCAAGCAAGAACTGCCCAGCAGAGCCCTCCCCCAAACTCCCAACGCACACCATCCCCAGCAAAATGAAAGTTAATACCCCGACATTTGGGGATAATCTATTAGAAGGCAACAGTAACTGGAATGACCAAAGATGTCTTTTCTTACAGATTCTGTCACTTTTTGTACTTGAAGTGGAAAACAACTTCAGATCCAAGTTACGTCAGCCAGAACAAACGGGGTTAGACTGCGATAAAAGAATGAACCCTGAAATCTCTGTGGCTTCACGCAACAAAAACATATTTCCTGTTCGAGGATAGGTGAGGAATTGTGCTCTATCTGGGAGTTGGGGAACCAGACCCCAGCACTGGTGATGACTTCCTCTCACCAACGCTGACGCAGGTAACGCTAATTCTCGGGTTTCCATCTCACAGCCTATCTTCACTCAGAAAAAGTGTCATCCTGTCCTGGCAACACCACTTTGAAAAATTACCAAGTATGGCATAGACTGGTGGCCTCTGGTACCCAAGTTTTAGCAGGGCACGTCACTGCCTGGCTACACGTGACTAAAAGCTCAGGCCAGCAGAACAGCACCAGAGTGATGTGCGTAATTTCTAGGTTATCTCCTTAAAGGCTCTTGCCCTGTATCCTCTCTCTGCCTTCCCTCCCCTCTGCTGGCAAAGGGTGATGGCTGGAGCCACCCTGTCAGTGACGCTGAGGACGCAGGCCTTTCCCATCAGCCTGGGACAGCTCACTCTCGGACTGAGAAAAGAAAAAGAAAATCTCTGTCTACCTGGTTAAGCCACTTGGCTTTTTACGGTGAGTGGAGAATAATGATGGGGCGCGTCATACTAACACAGCAGGTAACTAACCACTGCTCACGCTTTCTGCTATTGCTCCCTTCATTTCATACTGATTTACATTTTCACTTCCCCTCTTAACCTCTCCTTTTCAATTCGCTGTTACATTACTGAACTTGCACTATGCGTTACTTAACTGAACTTCTAACTCACACCGCGGCTTTCTTTGAAGGTACGGGCTCTCTGATGTAGGATACGCACAGTGCTTTTGGGCGAGGGAGTGAGTTCAAAGGCTGGTTACCCTGCTTCTCATCCTGGGGGTGCTTAGACAAACCCTCAAGTCCACTGAAAGAAAGACTTGCAGCCACAATTACCCTAAGAGAGGGAGAAGGGTGACACATCAGGCCTTGTTTAGCTCCCTTGCCAAACGTCTTAGGGCTCCCCCCCTCAAATTTCAAACTCAGCTCATACAGATGGCAATGGGACACCGTGGCCTACAGTGCAGACCTGGAACCGGAACAGTCTGGTTTGGAACCCCAGCCTCGCCACTTCCTACTAACGTGACGACGGGCAGGTTCACTCCTCGTCTGTTTCCTCAGCTCCCAGGTGGCACCGATAGTGCCCTCACTGGGTAGCTACAAGGCTTCATGAAAACAGCGCACGTGGAGTACTCTGTATGCGGCCAGAGGGCCCTGCCTTTCCACATGCTATCCCCTCGGCCTGGAAGAACTTCCTTGTCTTGTCCGCCTTGGGAACACCTTCAGATGCTTCAGCATTACACAAGCCATCAGTCTTGCCCTCACGGTGCTGCTGAGAAGACGCGCCGGTTAATTCTGCTCGTCACAGCACACTGATGGCCTGTGTGACCGGCCGCTGCTGCGGGCTCGGCCCGCGTCCTGTCCACCGCGGTGTCTGAGTGCTCTGTAGGATACACACTGCATCTCCTCAGGTCTGTCCACAACATGAACTACGTAAATCCGTGAACTCACTCTACAATCAACATGCCTCGCTTCTGGATTAGGAGCGAGGCCTAACTATTAATGATGTCATTCCTCTATCAAAATATTTCATTTGAAGCATAAGTGGTATTGCTGATGTTTCAAAGGGCAGTTATCTGAATATGAACATCGACAGGTAAAGGCTCTCTAATGAGGACATTGTCGTCTAAAATGTCAGGTTTTTCCAGGAGCTTTAGCAGAGGCCAAATGAGAAGGTCTTAAAAATCAGTCAGTCAGGGCCGGCCGAGTGGCACATTGGTTAAGAGCTGGCTTGGGACGCCAGAGGGCCCCGGTTCGGATCCCACATATGGGGGGCCAGTGACACTGCCCTCTAAAGCTAAGATGCTGAATAACAGCTCAACCTGGAGCTGGGTTGCCGTGAGTCGCCGGCAATGGCGTAGGCTGCAGCCCCTGCTGCAGTGGGTTGCCATGGGCTATCATGTGTAGCCAGCGGCCAGCCTGAGTGGCCAGAAGCCGCCATGAACAGCCATCCAGAAGCCGGCGACTGATCTGCCTTGCCCGGGAAGAGCGCAATGATGGTGCCAATTTGGGCCAGTGACACAATGTCCTCCACAACTAGACTGAAGAACAAAAGGACAGCAACTTGTCTGTTCCCATCCCCCAATTCAAAAAAACAAAAACAAAACTCAGTCAGTCATTGAAAACGTATTGCATTTTTGTTGTTGTTGTTGTTGTTGTTGTTGTTTTCTAGCTGAGCCATCCTGCCACCTGTTGGCAGCTCAGCGGCAACTCAGCTCGGGCCAGACTCGAACCGCTGTTGCTCAGAGCTCAGACTCTTGAGTGAGCACTTAACCAACTGAGCCACTCGGCCGGCCCGAAAATGTATTGCATTTGTAATGAGAAACTAGTTATTAGAATTTGAAGGATACAGAATGATTATAAGCATATTTACATGTATATGGAAATTCTTACTTTATAACATCTTTTCACTTCTTCTAATTGCCCTGTGCTACAGAAAGCATTATATTCCTATTACACAGGAGGTCATGTATGATCAAGAAATACAATAGCAAAAACTCAAATCTGTTTTGGCCAACTTCGGTGGCCTTTATAATGGCTGTTGAATCCAGATTTCAATTAAATATATGGTGATGGAAGGAGAACTGATTCTGGGTGGTGAGCACACAATGTGACATATAGATGCTGTATTTCAGAATTGTACACTGGAAACCTATGTAACTTTACTAACCATGGTCACCCCCAATAAACTTTGATTAAAATAAAATAAAATAAACTCTGTTATTATTTGCAGCTTTCTAGAGGGAAAGAGAACACATCGATCAATCCATCCTTGAGTAAGGACCAATAGTGCCATTCGCCTTAAAGAACTTAATAATACATTTCTCATGACAGTGACAATGTGTGGTCCTAAAAAGTAAAAGCTATTTTGTAAAAGAGAAATCGAAAGCACCAAGCATTGAAATGACTAAAATACCTCAATGCAGACGTGATGCATCCCTCCAGCCTTGTTCTTCTGCAGAAAACCTGCGATTGGGCTGTCATTTCCCAATGGGTGAAGCAGTTCTATCTTGGTATTTCCCAGGTTGACAAAGACGACAGACACTCCATGCTCAGGAAGAGGCACCGCCTCACTGACTTGGGCCCCCAGAACATTCTTGTAAAACGCCTGGGCCTTTGCCAAGTCTGGCACTGCGACGGCCACATGATTGAGTCGACCCAGGCTCCACACAGGACCTGCCACTTGATGCGAGGGCTGGAAGGCAGAAAAAGCTCTTACGGTTGGAACTGGAGTTTGAAGTCTGGAAAAAAACCCTGAAAAATGGAACAGCCATTGAGATCCTTCTTTTGAGAATGAATACACTTCTAAACCTAAGTTTTAAAAACCTAAATAAATTATACATGCAACAGTTACTTGTAATACCTATTATTTTTAATCATTGGAATTAATTCAGGGGAGATAAAGGGGGAAACTTAGGTCAAAATTACTCACTGTGCTCTGAAATAACTGTCTGGAATTAAAAAGCTAATTCTGAGCTTTCAGAAGGAAAAAATGACATTTTCCCTAATGGTTTATATTTACTGATCATATTTAAAGGATAGCTGGGTATAATTAAGAAATTACTTGCTATTCTCTGCATTTCACAAAGGGTAAGTTTGATGTGCTAGTGAAATAACATACATTTAATAATGAGAACAAGCCATTTTCTCCCTTATCTAGCACTGCTTTTTTGTCTGATGTTATGTAATGAGTTCATTGAAGCCATGACCAAAAACTGCTTTTTAATGTGTATTTTGTTTGAATGATTATCAACTAAGAAAAACAATTCATTGTTGGGGAAAAACAAGCAAAGCTCAAGAGGGTACCCTAACTTCTGACAATTTCCCGAGACCAGATCTTTTGAAACTGTTTGTTATAATTTTAAAGGATTAGAAGCAGAATGAGAATCTGAAGAGGCCTGCAATGCGCGCTCCTTGGGGGTCACTCTGCGCTCCCAGGCCCCAAACTCTGGAATCTAAGAGCCAGAGTCCCCCCAGAAGGAAAGTTCTATACACATACGGGGAATACATACAAGCTTGTCAAGCTACATCACTTGATAAAAAAGTATGAAATAGCAAACTGAAGAACACATATTTTACACAGTTGGTTTTTGGCTCTTAATGCAGAGCCCTTTGAACAGTAGCTGGTATCACAGAGCTTCAGCTGACATAAAATTAATTCCCTTCTACTGAAAATTTTGATAACAAGAAAAATTAAAGTGACAGTATTTGATTTTATTTAAGACCCTAAACCCACATCCTTACCGAGAGATAAGGGCCCACACAGCCTGTGCTAGGCCTGTCACCTTGTGCTGGGAATGACTTTTTCTCTGACAGGGTCAATGAGCGAATGCTCCTTTGTTTCTGCTTCAAGCGTGAGCATCATAGGGCCAACCTCATTACATCTGTCCTCTAAGGGGACAGGGTTCTCACTACTGCAGCACCAGAGGGCTGTGCATAGGTGAACTGTCCTGTGCTGGCCACTGGGAGAGACCCGTTGGCCACAGGGGACCAACACTCACTATTGAAGCTGATCTTGCTCTGACTCTTCTCTAGGTAAGTTAAGTGCTGTTCCACCCAGTTGGAGACTCCAATACCAAGATGCAAGGGACAGAAGTGCCTAGAGTCCTCCCCTGGGGCTGATAACCAGTACATGGTACTCTGTTTGACAAACCTGATGCATCGTAGGTCAGCCTACTATGGTCTCCTGCTATGCTCTGGCCTGCATTATTGATTACTGAAATACCCAAAGGTTCTCATTGCCAATAGGTTGACACAGCCCTGTTCTATGGATTCATCATGAAATTCAAGTGTATTCCAACCCAGTACACACGTACATAAATGTAGAATTGAAGTAAATTTCCTAAAAAGAATACCTAATCCTCACCAGATGGGATGTGCTCTGATATTTTCTATTCTATTGTATTGTATTTCAACTAAAAAAAAATACTTGTACTACCCACTAAATATCTACCTTGCTAGTTTGTTGTGAAGACTAGATATGTGGTATAAAAATATAATACAGTGCCAGAGCCATTTAATAGGTACACCATGAATTCAGCCATTCTTGTTAATGACATACAACGACTGGTTGCTGGTTGACTGACATGAGGGTTACCTGTGGAGACCAAGAAATGATCTTGAGGACATGATGGTAGTGAATTTTAAAAACACAAACAACCAACAAAATCATTGACCGAACTGCCCATCCCTTCTTTCCTTGCATCTCTATCATGTGTGCAATTTGCAATGAAAGCTCAATATAGAACGTACTTGTATTAAAAAAAACAAAACTATAGATAGGGTCAATAAGCTTTCCTGTAATATGCATATTAAGTCGTTTGCTTTGTGAAATTTCAAGGGTATATGGAATATTGACTCTAGGTATTTCTGAATTCTCCTTATCAGTAGTATCTCTACAAGAGATGGGGCAGCTGGAGTTTCCTTGGCAGGCATCCTACCACCAGCAAAAAAACACAGAAAAAACGTCAAGGGAGCAAATTAGAAGACAGCCAAGTAAAGGTGAAGTTTTACATATGATGCCAATTTGTTTCGGGACATTTCAAAACCTCTGGCCCCAGAAAGGCAGCTCAAGCAACTCATGTCATTGGAAGCCTCACCATAGTTTATCTTTCTCCAAAATTTCCTTATCATTGGGGAGTGGGAGGCAAGAGGACAGTTTACTATTGGGTCTTTGGCAAAGTCAAGATGTATTCTGTTTTTCAAAGGTCATTTATTTATATAAAGAACAAAGATCAGGCCGGCCGAGTGGCATGTTGGTTAAGAGCTGGCTTGGGACGCCAGAAGGCCCCGGTTCGGATCCCACATATGAGGGCCAGTGACACTGCCCTCCACAGCTAAGATGCTGAACAACAGCTCAGCCTAGAGCTGGGCTGCCGTGAGTCACCGGCAGCGGCATAGGCTGCAGCCCCTGTGGCAGTGGGTTGCTATGGGCTACCATGTGTAGCCAGCAGCCAGTGTGAGCGGCCATCCAGAAGCCGGCGACTGATCTGCCTCGCCCGGGAAGAGCGCAATGATGGTGCCAACTTGGGCCAGTGAAGCAACATCCTCCACAACCAGACTGAAGAACAAAACGACAGCAACTTGTCAGTTCCCCTCCCCCTAATTCCCCAGCTCTGTTCCCATCCCCCAATTCCCCAATAAAAATCTTTAAAAAAAAAAAAAAAGATCAATGATATGTTGCCCGTTTTGTTCGATAACCTTTTGCCATCTTTCAGTGAGCTTCATAATTCCTCATTCATAGAAGGACCTGTCTTTATTTGCGAAAAACTGAACAAGGTGCTGATTTACAGCCTCATCTGAATTGAACATTACACCACGCAAGGAGTTTTGAAGAGAGCAAAACAAGTGGAAGTCTGACAGCGCAAGGTCAGGCGAGTATGGTGGGTGTGGCAACACATCCCATCCAAGCTCAAATAATTTTTGATTTTTAAGATTTTTTTTATTGGGGAATTGGGGGGATGGGAACAGTGCTGGGGAATTGCGGGAAGGGGAACAGACAAGTTGCCGTCCTTTTGTTCTTCAGTCTAGTTGTGGAGGACGTTGCTTCACTGGCCCAAGTTGGCACCATCATTGCGCTCTTCCCAGGTGAGGCAGATCAGTCGCCGGCTTCTGGACGGCCGCTCACTGCGGCGGCTGGCCGCTCACGCTGGCTGCTGGCTACACACGGTAGCCCATGGCAACCCACCTGCCACAGGGGCTGCAGCCTACGCCGTCGTCGGCGACTCATGGCAGCCCAGCTCCAGGTTGAGCTGTTGTTCAGCATCTTAGCTGTGGAGGGCAGTGTCACTGGCCCTCATATGTGGGATCCGAACCGGGGCCCTCTGGTGTCCCAAGCCAGTTCTTAACCATTGCACCACTCGGCTGGCCCCAAGCTCAAATAATTTTTGACGGGTGATCAAACTTGTGTGTGGTCTCGATTTGTTGCGATGGAACACAACTCCTTTATAATTAACGAGCTCTGGACATTTCTGGATGATGGATTCATTCAAACTGTCCAACTGCCTACCATACACATTCAAATTGACTGTTTGGTTCCTTGGTAGAAGCTTGAAAAACACGACACCTTTAAAATCCCACCACACTGAGAGCATAACCTTCCTCTGATGAATGTCTGCTTTCGATGTCATTTGAGGTAATCATCACGTCGGGACCAAGACTGTTTGCACACCAGATTGTTGTAACAATCCACTTCTCATCACCAGTTATCAGTCGCTTCAAAAATTTTTCATTTTTCTCATGTTTAATGAGCAGATCACAGATGTTTATACACGCCATCAAATGAACTTTGAGTTCATGCGGAACCCAAATATTAAGCTTGCTTACATATTCCAGCTTCTTCAGGTGGTTGCGAATGCTTGAATGATGGATGTTCAACGTTTCTGCAATCTCTCGTGTCGTGTAACGTGGGTTTGACTCAATCAATGCCTTTATTTTGTCGTCATCAACCTCGGTGGGCCTCCCTGACCGAGGAGAGTCGTTGAGATCAAAATCACCAGCACGGAATTTCATGAACCATCATTGGCACTGACGTTCTTGTAGAGCACTGTCACTGTAAACTTCATGCAACTTTTCACAAGCTCGATGCGCATTCTTCCCTTTATGGAAGTAAAACAGTAAAATATGGCAAAAATGCACAGTTTGGTCTTCCATCTTCAATTTGTTGCAAAATCTCCAAAACTCAACCAAATCCCTCAATTTTTTTTTAGAATGAAGCTAGAACTGTCAGCTGTCAAATTGACATAGCAATAACATGGATGCAAATGACTCTAGTACTTCCAAAAATGAACTAGTGCCATCTGTTGCAAACATGTATCATGACTTTTCCGAAGACCCACTAGAACACTTGGTTCTTTTTCATGTAAAAGAACACAAAATGCACTTAGCATGTTAGGAAAATAGATAACATCTTTATGTAGTGTGAAAACCAAGACTTTCCAGCCATAGAGGCTTATCTTATCTCTAGAAATGTACACTAGTTTGAGAAAGGAAATAAACCTTTATTGGTTTTTTTTGGCCCCTAAGGCATATGTTCTAGGAATAGCACAAAAATATAGTGGTACTGGTGAGAATTCAATAATTCAGCTTCATTAAAATGAAGGGTTAATGATTTTAAAATGGCCAAAAAGCACATGATGAGATACTCAACCTCATTAGCCATTAGGAAAAGGCAAATCAAAACCAAATGAGAGATCACCTCACACTCACAGTGTTGAGGAAAATGGAAGAAACTGGAACCCTTGTACATTGCTGGTAAGAATGAAAAACGGTGCAGCTGCCATGGAACAGGTTAGCAGTTCCTCAAAAAGTCAAATACAGAATTACCATACAACCCAGAAAGTCTACTCCTAGGTACCCTTAATAATTGGAAACAGGAACTCAAACAAAGCAAGTATTATAAGCATAGTATTCTTTTTATGTTTTGATACAAGCATACTGATTTGTAAGTTTTCCAAGTTAAAATTAGTTGCTTATAGGAACTCTAACTCACCCATACTGCTCACAAGTCCTGTTGCTTTAACTTGGGAACTCCTTTTAATGTCATATAGAAGTAGGAACTATATTCATAACCATTCTGCCTTTCAAGAACCTGTAAGCTACTGAGCCTCCCCAATGCAGACATGCCCCAAACAGTCTCAAGGCAGTCTCCCCACTGCTGGGGTTCAGAGTCAGTGGAGGTCAGAATGTCCCGGTGCAACATCTCGCTGATCTGACCTGACCTTCCCAGTAGGCGTCTGTAGGTTTATTTCGTTGTTAGAGTTACACAAAATCACAAATTCTGAAGTGGGACAGGATCGTGCCATAGCCCGGCTCTGCTTATTAGGCTTCAAGGCCATAAACTAGAGATAATAGTAATAGTCCAGTGAGTGCTTTAATCCTCACAATAACTCTATGAATCAGATGTTATTTTTCCCACTTAGAGACAAGGAAAATAGGCCTGATTAAGTCATTTTCTTCAAGGTCACACTAAGTGGCAAAGTTGGGCCTCAAGATCAGGTCTATCTGACACCAAAGTTAATGCTGTCAGATTATGTTTAATTTTCTCATTCCTCTGAAAGTCTTCACCATTCTTTTCTCAATTTTTAATGTTTTGTGTATGTTCTATGAGCCATATCTACTTTGTAAGAGATGGCTTTCTAAAAGATGACTGTTTTGGGCTGGCCGAGTGGCTCAGTTAAGATCCTGCTCAAGAGTGCGAGCTCTGAGCAACAGGGTCACTGGTTTGATTCCTGGCCCGAGCTGAGCTGCCAACAGGTGGCAGGATGGCTCAGCTAAAAAAAATAATAATAATAAAAGATGACTGTTTTATTTTATTTACTTATTTACTTAATTATTTACTTATTGCAAAAGGCTACTTGCAATGATATGTGAGAGAAGACTCTGGCTAAGGAGGGAGGGTCCGGGAGGGCGTGTTATTGGCAAAACTTGAGTATCACCTGTTAATTAGAGATTCATTTTAACGAGCTGTGCTCAGGCTGTTCTATTTTTTCACGTATACGTATCACCTCTTTCAGCTGAAAATGTGCTGAGACTATTATGGTGCACTTCTTTGTATGTGGCCCATCACTTAGCCATGGTGACTTGCCATGACAGAGACGTAAGAAATTGTGTGATTGGTCAGAAAGGCTATAGTGATGGATAAAAAAGATTCAGTTTGAGATGGGACTTCAAAGGATGCCTACAACTGTAACTTTCAACAGGTGGAATAGGGAGCACTTTCTAGGAGAGAAATCTAATGTTATTAAAGGTTCATGCCCTTGAACACTTTGGAAGGTGCTAAGCTGAAGGATTTATCACCAATGGAGACACTCGAGACTTATCACTTGGCACTTGCTTCCTAACAGGGAATTTCAGACAAAGGGAAATAGTTGCCCTCTGATGAGGGAGGAAGGAAAAAAAGAAAAAGGAGAAAGTGGGTGGACTGAGGAGTCAGAAAACTTGATTTTCTGTCATCACCGATTCTATGAAGCCTTTTTTTTTTTTTAAATAGAAGTGTGGAAAACTCAAGGAACCTTCCTAATGCATCTGTTTTTACCGTTCCTGTTTATATACTAGATAAGAACTATATTAGGGCATGCGGATGGGGAAAATATTCCTTTGGTATTATT